GCACCTTATTTTGGGGGGTCCTTATAATAAGGGTCCGATTATTTAGGGTACTATCTTAGGGTCCCCTATTTTTCGGAAACCCCCATATAGGAACCTGATGAAGAAGCCCTGGATCTGTATTGGGGTTCTTCACGTGAGTCCTAATGATTTAGGGTTAATACGGTCGGAGTTTCTCAGTCAGGCTCCTACATTAGAGGTTCTTGTACGGTTTGGAGTCGTGGGCTGTTAAAAACCCTAAACCCTGAACTACGAGCTGCTGGTTTTCTGGGGCTCTCCTGGATTCTTCTGAAGGGCTTCATGAGGCATGCATGGATCCGTCGCGTTTATGGGTTCTTACAGGTTTTCTGAGGCACCATGAGGCTTCTGGGCTTTGGGGTTCATAAAGCTTTAGGGTGTATAGGTTTCCGATTGCCGAATAGGCTTGCTCCTTCGGGTTGGCCATGGTTTTCCCAACATGATGCTACAAGAACACTGGCCACCATTTAGGGGAAACCCAGATTTAAGGCATAAGCCCCACGGTTCGTGTTCGGGGGTTTATGATGGAAGGGTATACTTATATCAGAACTTATTGAGATATGGGTTTTCGTAGTCATAGCCTAAGGGTTCCATGTGCACAAATAGCACAAACTGTGGCCTTAAAGTAACCCCTGTAAAAATAACTAAATGTAAATATTATATATATATATATAGAGAGAGAGAGATATGTGTGTCAGGGCAAAGTCATATACCATTTGTGCACAGAGACCCTTAGGGTAGGGCGCACAAAATCCTAAACCCTTAGACTCAGAGGGGAGTCACTTGAAAGTTTCGGGTAAACCCTCATTCCCGTGACCCTGGATAGTCTAAGCTCTACTTCCTCTACAGCTCCAAGGTTGAACCCATCGGCCCCTAGTATGGGCCCTTAGCCCTGGGATCCTTACACACCTACTATATACCCTATATGTACGTACCCTCAAAAGGGTCCCTAGAAAGGCCTAAGGGCCCATACTAGGGGCCCATACTCTATCCTTAGAAAAGTTTTAGGGTTTGGCTCAACCCTGGACTTCCCTTGAGGGAGATTGCTGTGTCTTTGGAGCCCCTGCACGGCAGGCTGCACATGCATCCCTGAAGGTGAAGGACTCGGGATGGTTCAGGGCCCCTTTCTTGCTACTGGTGTTAGATTGTTCTATCAGGCTAGATTTTCTTAAAGGCTTAAAGGGGCTTGTTTTGCTTTTTGACAAGAGTGTTTTGGTGGCCTGTATACGTGGGTTCCCGTCAAGAGACGCGAGTTTGGCACCAGCGGCTTGTAGGACTTGCCAGGTGGGCTTATAGGGTTTACGGGGTTTGCTCGTCGCCCCGAAAACTTCCCCCTTTGGCGGAGGAGCCCGAAACAGTTGTTTTTCTTTCGGGGCGGCAGGCAGGGTTAAAAAACTGTAATACAAATCTCCTTAGTGCAGGACCTTGGAGGAACCCTGTATGTCAGGAAGTCAAAGCTTCTAAAGCCTTTCAGTATAGATCCCTTGCAGGCTCTTGCAGAAGTGTACATGCCGCCTGCAAACCCCGAAACCCAAAAGCAAACCCCAAGCCCTCATAGATCTCTTCAAGGAGCCCTTGAAGGGTCCATTCAAAGGGTCCTTTTAAGGGCTCCTTTAACGGATCCATTAAAGAAACCACCAAAACAACCCTAAAGCCTAAAGCCCTAAACCCCTAAACCCTAATCCCGAAACCCCTCAACCTCGGCGGTGGAGAAAGGGGCTATTGCACTTAAAAAAACCCTAAACTCCTAAACCCCTAAACCCTATACCCTAAAAACCCGAAACGCCTAAACCCCTAAACCCCCTAAACCCCGAACCCCTAAACCCTTAAACCCCTAAACCCTAAACCTTAAACCCCTAAAGCCCCTAAACCCCGAAGCCCCAACCCCCTAAACCCCTCAGCCCTAAACCCTAAACGCCTAAAACCCCTAAACCCCGAACCCTTAAACCCCTAAACCCCGCACCCCTAAACCGTTAACCCGAAACCGCGGGCAGGAGCTCGCCTCGCGCAGCGTCTCCGTGGCGGAGCTCCTGCTCTTCTGGGAGAAGGCTACCATCGCTTCGGCTCCCTTAAAAAAGGGGTGTAGGGCTTTAGGGCTTGGGGTTTAGGGTTTAGGGTTTTAGGGTTTGGGGTTTAGGGGTGCAGAGTTTAGGGGCTTAGGGTTCAGAGGTTAGGGTTTTAGGGTTTAGGGTATGGGCTTCTGTGTGCTTTAGAAGGTTCTAAACAGCGTTTCCTTTACGGGTTGCTGTCAGGGCTTCTTCAAGAGGGTACATAAAAAGTGTTCTTCAGAGGTGTTGCTAGCCCTGTAAGAGGTGTCCGTAAAACGAGTTCTGTAGGGTTTTAAGAGTTCAGGGCTTAGGTTTTAGGCTTTTGTGTTGAGGGTTTTGGGTTTTGGGTCGAGGGCTCCTTTAAAGTTCCCTCCGGAGAAGGGTTACTTTAAAGGGGTCCACTGAATTCTTCCTTGAAGAGGGCTCTGTTTGAAAGGATTTGGGGTTTAGGGTTTTGGAATGAGGTTTAGGGTTTAGGTTTGTGTTTGGTTTGAGGGTTCCCAAACCGTTCCTCTAAAGGGTATTTAATAAAGGCTTGTTTCAGGTATGACTTGTTTCTGAGGTTCCTTTGCAAGGTCGCTTGTGTTAGGAGTTCCGTTTAGGACTCTAATTAGAAAGAATCTAGAAGGAATTTTGGGATTCAGAGGTTTCGGTATTTGCGGCTTAGTGTTGCAGGGATCTTCGGTGTGTAGAGTTTGACGAATCTTTACTTTAAGGTTCCTATTCGCTAATGTGCTTGCGCGATTTTTGAAAGGTAGGCACGCTCAGATATAGTGCGCATTACCTCAGCAGCCTTCTTCGTCGTGCAGCCATGGCCGTGAGGAAGGTGTTGAGAAAGGATGTGCGCTTTGAAAGCCCTGAGCAACGCGCGGTAGCACTCAGTTGGGGATCATCACGACGAGGCCGTTCCCGCAATGGGGCTATTGAGGCTCAGCCTCTGCCTGGCAACCTGATTCAGGAGGTGGGTTTTCGACCGCCGCTTGCGCAACTGCGATGTGTTCATCGCCTTTGCTGAGGAGGAGTACGGCGAAGACACCGGCAACCCTGCCAGTACCTACTGCGAGCTCGAATGGTGGGTGAACACAGGGGCAGCAGACCCCCATGCCTCATCAACATGCGGGAAGATGGGAACGAGTTTCTGCACGTTAGGGTCCCTTTCAAAGGGTTGCTGTTTTGAGCCTTCTGTACGGATCCAAAAGGGATCTGGGGATTTAGGGGTTCAGAGTTCCGTTATAAACGGGCATTCGTGTAATGATTCTACAAGGTATCAAACAAGGCGATCTGGGAATCAGGATCATGGGTTTAGAGTTTTATAAAGTTTTGAGATTGGGGATATAAAGTTCTAAAGTTGAAGGCATTAGGGGTTCGGTTGATTGGGTTTGCGTGTAGCGTTTAGGCTTACAGTGGTAGTGCTTAGGTTGGGGGTGTCTATGGGCTAGGCTTTTGGGCTTAACCGGAAAAGCCGAAGCTTTAACAAGGTCACGGCACAGGCCTTTTCTTTCGATTCTGGGACCGGGATTGCAGATTCAGGTCGAGATTTCATCTCGTGAGACTAAAGGGTTTAGGGTTTAGGGTCTAGGGTTTAGGGGGCTGGAGGGCTTGAGGACTTTTCAGGCTGCTAATATGGGTCATTCTCTAAATTAGGGTCCCTTTCGGGGCCCTTTTTCTTTCAAGGTGCCGTACTATTTGGGGGACCTGAAAAGGGACCCTAATGTTCAGAACTACCCATATATGTGTCTGTAGTTGGCTAAGATATCCCTCGATGCTCCCATATGTGATTTGAGCCCAAAGCCCTGCTTCAGATATTTCGTTAGACTAGATGCCCAGGGCTTGTGCACCTAATCCTATGCTCAGAACTTAAATCCTGAATATTCCTCTTCCCTTAAGTAAGCTGTGCTTCCTCTGAAAGCAACAGAGAGACCTTTACACAAAAATCTACGCCCTTATAACACCTACAAGACTCCTAAAAACTAGATCCTAACCCTCATCCATTAACCATGAACTTAAAACATAAAAACCGCAAAAACCTAAAAAGAGAGGTGCCCTATTGCATGCCCCATTTCGATGCAAACCTGGCCACCACGCACGACGTTGTCCGGCATGCCATCATCCCACTCTCCAAAGTGCAGGCGAGAAGGGCAAGGGTTGGCGGTTAGGGTGAAGGGTTTGGACTTTCAGGTGTAGGGCCTAGCATAGCAGCAACACTGGCAAGACAGCAATACCAACAGTTCGAACAGCTGCCAACATCAAGCACACAGGACTAGTCATGACTAGTCATAAGCTGTACATTATGTTTTGCTGCGATGCATTTTTCAGGCTGCCATATAACAAGCTCAACATTGTGCCACGAAGCCCCCTGAGCCTAAGCCTTACAATATCTGCATGCCTGAATGCTGACCCCTCCAAAGAGCAAACCTCGATAATATGAACCGAGCTTCTTACCAATATCACTCCTTGTGGTTCCTTAGTTTATATAGTTATACTATAGAGGGACACAAACCCCATTCTAACAAACCCTAAACCCTAAACTGAAAACCCTATAAACCCTAAACTGAAAACCCTAAACCTTAAACCCTCAGCCCCCCAAACCCAGAGCTCTAAACCTCAACTGCCCGATCCTTCCGCAGGTTCGGCTCTTAGATACCAAGCGTGAAACCCTTGGGGTTTAGGGTTTAGGGAGTAGGGTTTAGGGTTTAGGGTTTAGGGTTTAGGGTTTAGGGTTTAGGGTTTAGGGTTTTGGCTGGGGTTTAGGGTGTAGTCGATCGTGACTGTAGCCCCTAAATTAGGGGCCACAGCCACGATCGAGTTTAGAGCTTTGGTTCCAGTATCAGCGGGACAGAGTGGAATACAAAGTTGGAACGAGCCCTAAACCCTGAACCTTAGGGCTTAGGGCTTAAGCCCCAACCCCTGAACCCTTATGCCCTTGACGTACTGTTGAGGGGAAGATCGGCACTAGTCATTCTCAAGCCAGGTTCCAGGTTCGGGTGCCGGATTGAAGTGGGTGTAAGGGTTCAGGGTTTGGGGTTCTAGGG